TCGATCACAGCGCGATGTTTTCGTCGCGCTGTGATGACGTCACGTGTGCGCTTTCGTCGAGCGCACTTTTGTCTACCGCGGGTTTGTGATGGAACCTTTCTCAAGATGTGGAAACTGCTTTAAGGCTACCACAGGAAGGGGAGAGAAGATTCTGACCACAAAGCTGGACTCTGCTTAGGAAAGAAAACAAACTCACACTAATGGTGAACTGGAACTTGAATGGTGGTCCTTCAAAGAAAGCAGCACAGTTGTCATCGCTGCCCGTTGCTAAGCGGTAAGGCCTCGTCTGTTTAATGTCCACTGTATTTATTACTTTGTTGTGACCTGCAAGCTCACCTACTGAAGAGCCAGTATCCCACAAGAAGACTGCTCCAAATCTGTTTATGCAAAACAAAGACTTAATTCCTTTTAATACACATTAAAGTAACAAATTATGCTCATGCAACTTCCACTTTACTTCTTATGGTATCATGTAAAAAATAATGCAATCAAAGGTTAAAAAAATAAGCTTCTATTTGTTCCTCTTAGTTTTTGTTCTTCCCACTTAATGCTTTTATCATGTTACTTAGTGTAATTTAAGAATACAATAAAAAAGATTCTCAAAGATGAACAAAAATAGGCTGCAATACCAACTGATTTTCTGCAACAACTGCTAAAGATATGATTAATTCTACACTTCAAGAACACACAAGAAAAGAATTTTATCTATAAGCAAATAATAATTTTAAATAAATCTTCTTTGCATGGTGAATACTAGCAAAGCAAAGCATGAGTTTCTTATTGACATAATAATGTCTTAAATTATTGCTTTGTTTACAAATGCCTAATTCCTGAAAGGATATATTCTGTGTATTTATAGAAGGAAGCTGGAATGAAAAATATTGTATTTCATAACAGAAGCTCCATATTAGGGGAAAAAAGATGTTGACAGCATTCAAAGCTAGAGAAGAAAATATGGTGCCAATATTTCTGGACATAAAGGCAGCAGACCTCACTATGGAAAAGCTGAAATCAGTTCTCCTTTTTCCTAGATTTTCTCCACCTTTTGGTATATAAAATCTTTATATTTATAGTAACATAAAGAATGACTGATGCTGAACCACAGTGAAAAGATAAATGTACGTACAACAACAACGGAATAGATATGACTTCCCATCAAATTCTTTTATATATGGAGATTTCTTAGAATTGGAATTCTTTAAAACCCCACTTTTGCTTTGGATGTGGAATTTTAAAAACAAAAGCTAGAATTAAGTGACCTACAAAATAATTCTTGCACCAACCACTTTCCCGTGTTGTCCCATCGCATTTTAAACAGGGATGTTTTGATATTTTGAATTACAACAGGATGAATCCCATGAATTACTGATAATGAGGATTTAATACAACAAATCTTTTACATTAATGTCATTAAAAAGAGAATGTTTTGCTTATGGAGTCCAGGGGGATGCATTCTCAAGAAAGATTTAGCTCTTAAACAAGTAGATTTCATCTGGAAATTAAAAACCCAAAGAAAGAGCTAAGAATAAAGAATAGAAGGGATTGAATAGAAGGAACGTTGGTCTTATCTGAATGGTCGATCTCTATGCACTGCGGGAGGGTCCAAGCATGGGTTAACTTCTGTCTATCTGCCCAGAGACTGAGTTGTAAATTCTTTGGACATGCCTCCTGCTCTCTACTGAGTCCAGTTTTCAATGAGGTTGTGGTCTTGCTGAAGACATAATCTGTTCGTTGCACTCCGAATACTCTTGTCCATTGGACCCCAAGAAGACCCCAGGGTGGAGTTGGATTCTCCCGCAGCGCACAGAGAATGACCATTCAGTTAAAACCAACGCTCCTCCTCCTGTGTGCTGCTTGGAGAGTCCAGAGGGTGTTGGGAAATAACCCTCTGTCAAGACCTTCCTGCAAGAATTCCAGGACTTGAGGAATTGACGCCCTGATGGAATCAATGTGCTTCTTGGAAATTGCAGAAGCTCTTCTGGGTTAGGATCGACTGTATAGCTTCTTATCACTGCCACTGGGGGCAGCTAGGGAGCCGGATTGTGACCATTGATGCTGGATCACGTCCACAAACATCTTAGGAGATGGGATAATCTCCTGCACTGGAACAGGTTCATTAAATAGTCCCTTACTGGGATCCTCAAGATCTGTGGTTTCCTATTCAAGTGTAACCCTAAAACACATGTGAGTGGTGGTCTTGGCCTTGCACGAAAGAGTCTTGAATAAGGCAGGCTTAAAAAGCCCCATGAAGGTGGACTTGTCCGGAATAAGACCTTCGTTCTCTGATAGTCTTGGTCAACCCTACCCCTACATGGATTCCTCACTGCCTAGGGAGGGACATGGAGAGGGAGGCCCCGGCAGATGCACCTTGTCAAGGAGGCCCTGTGGAAGCAGCCTGTTGGGAGCTAGTCTGGCAGGACGCTGGTCCCTTTTTTTGGAGCCCCTCAGCGATTCCTTGGGAAACGGCCCGGGAGATGACACTGCACATCTCTTCAGAAAGAGCTGGCCCCTGATGTTCCATTGGATGGAGACCCACCGCAGTGGGTGTGAATGTGGCCTCCTGGGGTGAACTCCTGATTGCCTCCCTATGCTGAAACAGTGCAGTCAAAGGGGGCAAAATCCTCCACAATGGAGGGAACTGGGGGACCTAGGGCCCTTGTGGTGCCATCTGGAGACCAATCTTGATGTTCTTCCTCTAAAATACAAATTGTTTCTCTAGCGCCCTCTGGCATCTAGAGGTGTCCCTGTCTGGGCCCTTGGATCCCTTCCTAATGGGGGAACATTAGGCCCTGGCTCCTCTCAAGGCCTCTTTCGCAGAAACCCCAGCCTTCCTAGGACAGGGCCTGCGTTGGTGGCTAGTTGAAAGCTACTTCTTGTCGCTGTTCCCTGCTTGGCCTCTCTCTGCCATTGTGAATTAAAGCCAAGGTTCTCACTATCTAACTACAAGGGAAGTTTGTCTGAGTACAGAACATCTTAATGTCCAGAACAGGGTCCCGTGACAACAGTCAGGAAGGAAGAGTCCACAGAAACAGAGGACCTGGAGGTCGAAGCTCCACGCACCGATAGCTGCAAATGTGGAGACGAAAATGGTGCAAACCACAATGGCTCCATGGCGCCCAGGCTGATCAACAGGCTGACTGCAATGGAAAAGGACGTAAACCGCCAACAATTGTGCTGTGCCAAAGCAGATCTAGAATCACAGAGTATGACCAGCGTTGGCCAAGACTCCAGTGCTGCTGCAATGAGAAAGGGTGGGGGCGATCCAGTCAGCAACCTGAATAGGATCCACCCACGCACCCATGGTGATCTGCAAAGGAGACACGCAAGCAGCAATCCGGCAGCTGAAAGCGCACAAAAAAAAAAAACTTTTGAATTTGCCGCTTTTGGCGCAAGGGAAAAGCCCACCGCTGCGTCTGAAGCATGGCCCAAGGTTCAGAACCAACGCCAAGGCTGTCCGCCCGAATTGGCGGTCGACAATGGTGATGGCCCAACGACAACCCAGTTGGGCCAGTCACTCCCCAGCAGCTGAGGTGGTTTTGCCCAAACTGCGCACAGCGGTAGGGGACACCTCTGACGGAGTCTGCTCCCGAACGAAAATAGATGTGAAGCAAAAAGTTAAACTAAAAAGGAGAGAAAAAAATAAAATAAAAATATTGAGAGTCCAAGCTAATCTGGTCAAAGACTGGAAATTCTTTGGATACGTCCTTCCTGAGATAGACTGTGTTGAAAACTGGATTCAGTAGAGAGCAGAAAGCATGGCCAAAGAATTTACAACTCAGTCAGGGCAGATAGACAGAAGTTAACCCATGCTTGGACTCTTTAAGTAGCACACAGGAGAATTTAAGCTTACTCACTTTTCCCTTCCTTCTCCAACAGCAGCAATTCTCTTGCTATCTTCAGTCCATGCAATATCTTTTATCCTTCCTGCAAATGGCTGATACTCGTATTTTAATAGATGTTCCTTCTGTGTGGTGTCCCAAATTCTAAGCTTTCCAGAGATATCTGTCAAAGCACAAACACATAGAAAAATAATTTGTCAAGCGAGATTAAAATACTGCATATCTATCAGATCCTAATTTACAAAATTTAAAATAAACCAGTTCTAAAGTAGTCATATGACTACTATTGAACAAACATTAGTTTTGCTTTTATTTCTGCTTATGAAGTCTTTTTGCTCAAAAAGAGTAATCAAGATAGCTTTATAAATTATATACTGAGTATGGCTAATAAAAAGAATAAAAAATAATGAATAATAAAACCACTATCCATTAAAATCTGGCCAAAGAGATGCTATTCTTCTCAAGATGAAAAACATGGGGGTGAAATCCATGTTGCAAGAGTGCATTCATAGCTACAGGAGAAAGCTCTCTTCTGCTTCTGGATTTTTAATGACGAGGCCAATTTAACAGGAGTTGGAGGCCTCAAATAGGAAGGACCTAAACAGTGACTTAAATAAATGTTAAATTTATATTAACTAACATTAAAAATTAGCATGTATGGTATCTAGAGGACAACTGACAATTAATACAGTTTTTTTAAAAATACAGTGATGATATGCTCATTTCTTTCATTGAAGACTGATTTGCACCAAGGGCAAGTTCAAGCCTGTTTGTGTGTGTGGCTGTTGCCTCCTGCGTGCATGCATGCCTGCCAGGATGGGATGGGATGGGCTGAAGCGATGCAGGCCAGCCCCTTACCATTTCCAGAATAGCCGCACAAACTGTACACGAGCAGCAGGCAGAGTCAGGAGAGAGGCACATGATGTGCATCACCGAACACTCCTGCTCCCATCCCATCCCATGTGGCTGAGACAGAGAAGGTGACTTCCCGGCACATCCAGCAGGCGGACCACGTGCCTCTCCCCTGCACTTGTCTCTGGCTACTGCTACCACCGCAAGCCTAAACAAGGTGAGGAGGGTATGGAGCGGCGGCTGCCAGACACCATTGGCCTGCCTATTCCGTCCCATCTGTTTTTGCTTGCGGTTGGAGAGCAGGTCGCCACTGGTCATCTACTCCTCACCCTCTTGCCCTTGGCCTGCATGTGGAGCGTGTTCCCCTCGCGCACCCGATGCACCTCGGCAATGCTGTGGGCTGCTGCTACCATCGAGGCAACCAGCAGCTCATGCAGGAGCACCAGGTCCACCCAATATGGAAGAAGCGAAGCACACCAGCTAGAAAGCTTCAGTAGAGCTGGTAGAGCTCACCTAGGCCCAATAGGCAAAAGGTAGCCACCGCAAGCAGGGCACCCTGGGTTCCCTTTGGCACTATGGCTGCCCAGGCCCAGCCAGGAACACATGCCTTTCCCGTTTCTGCTGGGCCTGAGCGGCCATGCCATTGATAGGGATCTGGCTTTCCCCACTCACTGCCTTTTTACCTGGTTGCTTTACTGCCTTTGGGCTGGGCAAGGTTGCTGAGCAGCGGCAGCCCGCAGCAGTGTCAAGATGCATTGGGTGCACAAGGGGAACACGCTTCATATGCAGACCAAGGGCAAGACGCACGTGGGGGCCAAGGAGATGACGAGCAGCGACCTGCTATCGAACCGCAAACAAAAACAGATGGGATGGAGTAGGCGGGCCGATGATGTCTGGCAGCCGCTGCCCCACACCTTCCTGTCTTGGCTGGTTGCGGTGGCAGTACCCAGAGGCAGAGGCACAGGGGAGAAACAAACAGTCCCACCTGCTGGATGTGCCGGGCAGCCACCTGCTCTGTCCCAGCAAAATGTCCAGCAGTCTGCATCACATGCCTTCCCCCCGCCTTCGTCTGCTGACGCATGTGCTGCTGAGACTGAGACCCCGGTGGAGCAGGCTCCAGAATCGCAGAGTGCGCCAGCTGAGGAGCTGGAAAACATTGGCCGCCATGCACAAAGGGCAGCGAGCGAGCGATGACTGATGGTTTCCAGCACCAGCTACTCCATCCCTTCTATTGCCGTGTGGCAGCATCACCCCCACCCAATCCCATGTTGCCTCACCTCTGTGGGATGAGTCTCCCACCCACCACCCCACCAGCCAGAGACCCTTGCATACCCTCCCCAATATTGCCCAGCCGACGTGAGTGATGTCAAGCTGGCCATGCCCACTCCTGCCACGCCCCCTCCCCCGAGGACAAAGCCAATTGAAACTAGCCATAAGGAAAGCTAGAGAACCACTGCAACATGGTGACCTTCCCCTCTAAACCTTGCAACCAGTCCAGAACGCTACTGCAGTCAACAATATTGAAAGCTGCTGAGAGATCAGGGAGCATGAGAACAGATGTACTAGCCCTATCCTGCCAGATGGCCTGGACCTTCATATAGATATTAAATAAAATCCCATTAAAAAAGAAGTGTTAAATAAAATCCACTTCATTTTATGAAGACCTATGTTACATTTCAAGAAAGCAACTTTTTATGCTGTACCCTTTAATCTTTTCCTTGCATTGCTTGATTTACCTAATTTAATCTTCTCAAAAGACGCTACAGGTTTGCTTGTGAAACTAACCTTTTCTTGTCACTTCACCATGCAGGCACTTTTCGAAATTTATAAACAGGCAGTTACTCCCTCATTTACGACTTTATTTATATTCTTTCACTGCCAGGGCTGAATCAATAAAGCATCTCACTGAGAATAATCATATGCTTTTATCTTTAGAGCTTAGGTGGAGAAATTTCTATTTCAGCGTATACCTTGTGGATGAAATTAAAACATTTACAGTATGTATTGTTTTCTATTTAAAAAGTTAAAATAATTCTCATTTAGTTACAAATTGGAGGAAGTCAACAACTTTTCTAATGGCAGAAAGGAAGATCTGCTTAATTTACATAATGTATAAAGCTCACCAAATTCAATTTAATGCAAAATGTATGTAACTGTGGTTATATTATTGTAAGAAGTATAAATAAAACTGCACTGCTGATTTGATAAATGAGCAAAATAAGAATGTCAATTCTTGGGTTTAGTTTGTTTTTTTTATGGTAAGAGAGAGAAAATCACTGTAATTTTTCAAAGCAACTTCATTCATTCTAAAAATACCCCAGGTACATTTTGCACCAAGCAGAAAGCTATTATGTAATGTTGATGTTACAACAGCATCTGCATGTTCAGTGTACTGAAATATTTATGAATCCTTTTGTATTTTCAATATTTTTGCATAAATTTGACCAAAAACATTTGTTCTCTACACAAGTCCTAAAACTAGATAAAGAGATGAAGAAATCAGTTAAAAACATTAATAGTCTTCATTTATTCATTGAGGAAAATAATTCAAAACCACATATTTATATTTGGCAAAAGCATGTGCAATGTTCAGTTCAGCAGAAGGGAAAATTAAGAGTCGGGATTTCAATCAATGGAATAATAATAGGTGGGAGGATGCTTTATTTAAAGAACAACATTCTGGGTGTTCATTATCAAAGTCTTTACAATACAATACAGGGATGTGGGAGGCTTAGGAGGCCTGCGGACCTCTGAAAACCTCTGACCTCTGAAAATAGTATGATGACATTGATAAGAAGCAGATACTGCATTCCAACATAAGAACTTTATCCCATCTGTGAAATATGGTAGTGGCAGTTCCATATTTTGGCCCTGCTCTTCTGCCTCTGGATCTGGTTGGCTTGTCATCATCGATGAAACTATGAATTCTGAATTATACCAGCAAGTTCTACAGGAAAGTGTCATGATATCTGTCATAAACTGCTTTAGAGAAAGTGGATCATGCAGCTAAAGAGCAACCTAAAGTATACAAATTATAGTACCAAAGAATGATGAAAGCAGAAGAAACTTAATGTTTTGGAAAGGCAAGCCAAAATCCTAACCTTAATTCCATAGAAATGTTGTGGAAGGACTGAAGCAAGCAATTCATGTGTAGAACATTAGCACCCACCCCTCTCCTAGAAGAATGAAATATTTTAGGAAATATTAAAAAGGCAGAATATTTTCTTTCCCTGGATGAGAAATTGAGAAATATGCTCTTGGAGACAGAAACTCAGCCACAGTTCTGAGTTTCCCAGTTCTGGAAAAAGCCATAACAGGAATTGCCCTTCATTGCATCATCCGGTCAACCAAGTCTGAAACACAGACAGCCTACAAAGTTAGCTATGACCCTCACATAGCCCCCTGGGAGTCTGACAACCAAAAGAATACATTTCTTGCACAGGAACAGGAAGCTCAAGGGCAAGGCCCAAGAGAGAGTATAAATATATCTCTCTCACTCCCTTCCACGTTTTCAGCTGCACCAGGACCATGTGCTTAGTGGTTCTGCTCCATTAAACCATGTTTCCAATCAGCATCCATGTTTCCAGTGTCTTTCTCCCCACTTGGAACTGAACCCAGATGGATATTTCTTCAAACACACGTTAGGAAGTTCCCCAACGTCCCAGAGAAAAAGCTGTTCTGCAAGAAGGATATGGGTTACAATTTCTCCAGCTGGTATGTAGGACTAATCAACAGTTATTGGAAATATTTAGTTGGAGTTATTGCTGGCTGGGGGAGAAGTCACACAGGTATTGAAAGCAAAGGTTCATATACTTTGCCATACACAAATACGTATATTGGATCATTTTCCTCAATAAATACATTTGTGCAGACAACAGATTACATTTTAGGTCAAAATTTATGCAGAAATATTGAACATTCAAAATTTTAAGCACTAATGTTCTTGCCCTTGTCTCCTCTCCAAGATTAGCTGATAGCACACAGAAGGAGGAGGGGTGGAGGAGAAATGTGGCTTAGAGTAGAAGCACATCTAATCCACCAATGAATCATGAATGAAGGCAAATATATGTGTCCTAGGATAATGTTCAGGATCCAATTTGGGTCAGACAATGGGATCAGAGGTTTAGTCTTCCAAGCTTTCGGACTCATGCTTCTCTCTACCAGAATGTGTTATTTGGGCTATTCTATGCGCAACATTTATATGGTGCCTGGTTGGGGGTGCCTTTCTTTTCAAATGGTTGATTGGGGTGTTGCTGGCCAGCTATTAAGTTGTTCGCTATTATTTCCTTATGTTGCCAAGTCGTCGGCTCCTATTCTATGCGTTTCTTCTTTTCTCTTCCTTGCATGTTGCATAGGCATCTTGTAATATATGCTTGGGGGTACGCATTGTGCCTGAATAGTTTACGGAGGTACGTTCTGGTCTCAGTGACAGACCCAGATTGGATCCTGCAATGAAGGTATCATTCGAAAGATTCACACTGCAGTTTCTTAGCCCAAGGATATATTGATATTGATACAATGTTATATCAATAACAGCAAGTTAAAAGAGCCCTGGTAGAACAGGGGTTAGATTTCAATATTGCAGGCTTGCTCTCCCCACAGCCTGGAGTTTGATTCTGACTGGCTCATGGTTGGCTCAGCCTTCCATCCTTCCGAGATTAGTAAAAATGAGGATCCAGTTTGTTGGGGCAATATGCTGACATTGTAAGCCGCTCAGAGAGTGGTCTCTATATAAGTCTAAGTGGTATTGCTATATCTAAGTATACAACACTAAAAGTCAGAGAAAACTGTAAGCAGAGAAACATACTTCTTGATGGGCATAAGTGAGCATGACTCTGCATCGAATTACAATGAAATGCATATTTATGCTTTTACACTCTACCTCCAGATGCGATATAGAAGCCACTGGGTGCATACTTGGCCACCACAACTTGATGGGCGTGTTCAGTATAGATGTCAGCAATTGCTGGGTTCTGTAAGGAAAAAAAACCAGAATTTAAAAATGTAACTTTCCAAAGAAGGGAAGTTTCCCATCCATTGCCAATTACCCATTTTTGCCAGCCGATCTGATAAAAGATTCTTTGCTAGTATGAATAGTATCAATATCTGCCTTGTGATGACCTTCCTCGGCTAATTAGATGATGCTTATCCAGGGAGGGCATTTGGGAGGAGGGCCATGCTTCAAGGAATTATAAGAGATGGGGCAAATGGCTGGCTTTGTCAGGAACAGCTCACAACCTAGAAAACAGTGTGTTCCTGAGGAACGCTGAGCTCCTTCTTTTCTACTTTCTACTTGCTTTCTGCAAAGACATTTTTAATTTTTAATTGGATAAGGTTTTTGAGGGCTATGCTTTTATGTGGGGGAAAGGGAAATTGTTCGTATCCTTTTATTCTTTTAAGCCATTTTGACTCTCTGGAACTGAATAACTAAAAATAATAATGTATTAATTGTTAATAATAATTTATTCTCAGAAAAATAATGACAATGAATCATGCCCATCATCCACACAGTGATGTTGACAGACTCTGTTTACTAGGAAAATAGGTGAGCATGGAATGTTGCTAGTACATCAGATGGTTGAAGAACAAAAAGGGCATTGGAAGAATAACTGAAGGACGGTGAAGAAGATGCACTTGAAGCTAGTATGTCAGGAAGACCAACTGAATACAGGAGAGAACAAACTGACTTACAAGAAAGACCAAATGAAGAACAGAAAGGAGACATGGGAAGACAAAGCGTTACATGGTCAGTACATTAAAGAAAATGGCAGGGAAATCAGATAATAATGGCTGACAATGGCTAAGAGCAGCAAGGTTGAAGAAAGAGAAAGAGGAGCTAAGACACAAGACCAACCCTTAAGAACAAATGCATACAAAGACAGAATTGAGAAGATATCAACAAATAACAAGTGCCGTTTCTACAAAAAAGCTGAAGAAACAGTGGATCATCTAATTAGCCAAACAACAGCATGACAAAGTAACAACAATGGTGCATTGTAAGATCTGCAAGAAATACTATTTGCCTGCAAGCAAAAAGTGGTAGCACCATAAAATAGAGAAAATAATAGAAAACGAAGAAGCTCAATTGCTCAGGGACTTTAGAATACAAACAGCCAGGTACATGGGGCAGCCCTTGAAGAGCATTCGGAGACTTCAGCTCGTCCAGAATGCAGCCGCGCGTGCGATTGTGGGTGCACCTATCCTCCGCGAGCTGCACTGGTTACCGATTGGTCTCTGGATACGCTTCAAGGTGCTAGTCGTCACTTATAAA